CCACGCCACGCCACGCCACGCCACGCCACTAGGAGACAATGGTATGAGGCTGTGACGCCAGACAAAGGCTACACTAAGTCCTTGACTTCCCTTCAATATGAAGGAACGTCCAAACTTTCCCTTCCTTCTCCTGCTTTACTTTTACTGTTTACTTTTTCCTTCCTCTGGTCTCCCCAGGATGTCGAGGAGAGGTTCAGGTGTCGGTCCTGTGCTAGGTGTGTAGCGTCTGTGATAGATATGTTGTCCTGTGCTAGGTGTGTAGCGTCTGTGATAGATATGTTGTCCTGTGCTAGGTGTGTAGCGTCTGTGATAGATATGTTGTCCTGTGCTAGGTGTGTAGCGTCTGTGATAAATATGTTATGTTGTTCCAGGACCTTTTTAACCCCATCCAGCCAGGTCTTTCTTGGTCTTCCTCTTGATTTGACGCTAGATTACGGGTGTGTAAGCTGAAGCTCTTGCCGCTCGTTGTTTCTGGGCATTCTGATTATGTCCAAAGCATCTGCCTTCCCTTGCACACACCAAGACACATCTCAAACTAACGTGTACAGATTCAACTTCAAAGGCCTTCTTTGGGTCACGCTGATGCAATTTACCGTAGTCTGATGCGTTCTTTCTCTTTTCTACTGTTGTTTTTAAAAAGATTAAAGTTGTCAATGGTTGGGGCACTGTTATAGCCTTGCATGTCTGTTCGAGTGTCTGCAATAAACACGATTCTGTTTTGTTTTGTTTTGTTTTGTTTCTGTGACTTTAGAAGAGAATGTTCTCGGGATTTATTCCATAAACCTGCGGTAGCCGGAATTCTGTTATACATGACGTCAATCGACAAGCTGACGTAGGATACAGAACAGACATAACTTAAGATAGATAGATAGATAGATAGATAGATAGATAGATAGATAGATAGATAGATAGATCGATAGATAGATAGATAGATAGATAGATAGATAGATCAATAGATAGATAGATAGATAGATAGATCGATAGATAGATAGATCGATAGATAGATAGATCAATAGATAGATAGATAGATAGATAGATAGATAGATAGATCGATCGATAGATAGATCAATAGATAGATAGATAGATAGATAGATAGATCAATAGATAGATAGATAGATAGATAGATAGATAGATAGATAGATAGATAGATAGATAGATAGATAGATAGATCGATAGATAGATAGATCAATAGATAGATAGATAGATAGATAGATAGATAGATCAATAGATAGATAGATAGATAGATAGATAGATAGATAGATAGATAGATCGATAGATAGATAGATCGATAGATAGATAGATCAATAGATAGATAGATAGATAGATAGATAGATAGATAGATAGATAGATAGATAGATCGATAGATAGATAGATCAATAGATAGATAGATAGATAGATCAATAGATAGATAGATATATAGATAGATAACTGAGGCCCAATGTTCGTCGTTACCTCCCTACCCTCCCCCCCCCCCCCGCCCCGTTCGTCCATCCCTTTCCTACCTCCTTCTAAACTGCGCTATCTTAGACTTAGAGTTACAAAGTTTTATCTGACTTAAACATTTTATTTTATTTTACTGTTTTGAGATACTATAAGACACTGAGGTCAGAAACCAAATTATGTTCAATCTACTCGCAAAATCGTAAGATTATTCTGAGTCGTTATCAAAATATTTAAAAATTTGCATTCGAAAAAGCTTGACGCGTTGTGAAACTCAAAATTTTTATTATTAGCGTCAAATTTCCCACAACTAGGTTGGGACCCACAGAGCTGAGAGAATTGCGTAATTCTAGGGTAGCAAAGCTGACAGCTACGCCACGACGACCTCCAGTACACAGAGCAAAGTGGCAGGAACTCCCCTAGCATTGGT